CGAAAGACCAGAACAATGCCACTTCACCCACATTCTGAGGGGATTGTAGAAAAGTACAACTGGACACTGGGACAAGAATTGGCAAAGTCTTGTAATAGCCGCCAAGATGACTGGGATGTTTTACTGCCTCCACTGGTGATGGCCTATAGGACAGCAGAGCATGAAGCCACTGGATACACTCCAGCAAAGTTAATGTTTGGTCGAGAACTTCGGTCGCCAGGATGGATGATATTCACCATCAAGTGTGTTCAAACTTGAAAACTTCTGCTGATTCCATGAAGCTATGTTATGATAAGAGATCTACTGAAGTCAGCTTTGTTCCAGGAGACAAGGTGTGGTTGTATAATCCCAGGAAGACCAAAGGGAAATCTCCTAAGTTGTCTTGTCCACTAGAAGGCCCATATGACATAGTGGATCGTCTCTCAGAAACAAAATGTGGTTGGCGACGTAAGCCAAAGGTGGTGCATGCCAACAGGCTTTGGCGTTATCACGGTCCAGGACATTTCAGTTGGGACAAAGTGAACAACAGAACAAATGACGCTGCTGAAGAAGTGTCACCTGAAAAAGCCACTGTCGAAGAAGAAATTCTACCCGGGTTTGAGAAGGGAAACAGTGAAGCCCTTGATGAAGTTACTACCACTGATGTGACTGTTACCGATAATAGGACATTTCTTGATCGAGCAGATGAACCCCACGTGAAGCAGAAACCAACGAGATGGAGACCAGTACGGAAGAAGATATGTCCCGTAAAATTCACAGACTTTGTTGAATTTTAATTTTGTGTTTGTAGATTCTGTTCATTTAATTACGTTATTGTTAATTATCTACTGGTTTATTGTAAGTGTCTATTGTTCGTCCCAAACAATAGTAAGGAAGGAGCAGTGCTACGACAGCGGAATTCACGTGATGCTAGTAATATGTAATGAGTATCTAGAACGTTCCTGAAGGATCGAGTGCTTGCTAGACTCACGCTTTTATAGTATATAAGACCGACAAGAAGTGACGGGAGAATTGAATTGCAGACAGCTAGAGACGGACAATTGAGTAAAGCGTGGTAGTAAGTAAAATGCGTGAATCGTTCGTTATGAATTATAGCGTGTGTTTAAGTTAAAGTGACTGTGGAAATTAAATGTATTGCAAAGTTCTATTGAGAAAGAATAAACTAGTTTTATTTAAGAGAGGACTTGTGTCGCTGAAGTTTCTGGGAAAGAATTTTTACGAGTAATTAACAAACGAACAGAGACGTAACAATAGGGATGAGGTACTAAAAGGAGGGGAAGAGTGGTTTTATAAGTAAAATGTTAGTTACATTATGTTCTATTTGAGCATATGAAAGCTAATTGCAATGAGGTTGAATGTATTTGAGTTACTGTTAGTGATTGTAAGGGAAGAACGCTTTATGTTGGAATTTGTTAAAGACCAACAGCTGAAACTCATGAAATTAATGAGAAACTATACAGTGAGATAAAGAATTCAACTGTTAACAAGCTTATAATCATAGGAAGTTTTAATTTCAGGCAAACTGATTGGGAAATATTATTGTCATATCATGAAGAAGACTGGTTTTAGAAACTGCTCAGGATGGTTTTCTTACATCACGTGAGAACCGGCACAAAAACAATCTCTTTTACCGATACACAAACCAAACAACACACAAAAAAGACACCCATAATAATCCATTCTACAAAAAGGAAATCACACAGAAACACAAACAAGTATAACACATACCAAACAGAATGTACTACCAACCAAAACAAGTACAGCAGAGGATGATAAACGAAACACAAGTTAAAACACGACAGTCACAAACAAGATTCCTTAATTAACATTTGCAAAATATTTTCAATGATTTTATAGCGAAATTCACCAAGTCCACACAATCACAAGATTACTTCCAGACATTCAGAACAGTCGCAAGAAAAATAAAAAAATAAAAGCACATCCTACCGCTACCTCCAGAATTAATTTCGTACATTACAGGACAACTACTTCAATATAAATTCATGGTTCAACATGTCATCATTCAAGGTTCATTTGCTTCCAAGAAACACGAGATTGAAAGCATCATCAAAGAAACAAAACCATGCTAAATCCAAATAATAGATTTAGAATACAAGGATATTCATGTATTAGAAAAACAGATTGAGTAAATAGGGTGCAAACAGAGGAATAGCCCCACTATATAAACCTAGTATGTCAGTGATTGATCTGAAACAAAATACAGTGTAGCCCCGTTGTAACGCGATCGCTGAGGTCAGTAAAATGTCATCGCGAAACAAGCGAGGTCGCGCTAAATCGGGGTTTTGTAAAGATTCACTTAAAATATTAAAGGTTATTAGTATGTAAACTATAACGAGGTTATGGTTACGAGGTCGGTCCCAGGGACCGAGCCCGCGTCGAAAGAGTTAATGACCCATCACGTTATATCCGAATTCGCGTTAAATCGGGGCGCGTAAAATCGGGGTTTCACTGTACTACAAAAGAATATATAGCTATAGATATATACCTAAAAGAAAACAAGCATATAACGGTAACAGTTATGTACTATTCACCGAGAGAAGTTATAGACTAAGAATTAATCAACAATATCAAAATAGTATATTCATAAATGATCTTAACAGTAAGCACTGTTATTTCGGGAGTAGAGAAACAAATGGAAGACGTTTACTGCGCTTCGTAAATAACTCAGATATATTATCCTAAATGATGCCTCCTCGACACATACGACGTTTCTGGATAATTTTAGTGACATATTAGACTTTTTTGTTTAAGCTCGAACACAATGAGCTAGAAATGTATACCCTGCAATGTAAAATATGACATAGATAGTGATCACCTACCGGTCTGGGTATATCCTGTAATGTAG